CCATTGGACCCCCATCATCCCAAGGAAAGGAAACCTCTGGAACCCCAAAAGTGGAGAGATCAGAGATAGGGAACTGCTGGGAGAGTTGTTTTGGGCTGAACCTTGATACTGTGGAGATTTTCATGGACACAAGAGTCCTGCTGAATTCTAGGGATGGACTTGGGCAGGAAGAACTTCCAGTCCAAGGTGCTCTCCTCTTGTTTTTTCCCCAAACCAGGATTTGTCATTCCCAGGGCTTGGCTGGATGGAGGAGGAGGAAAAGCCCCGGAGATGCTGCAGGAGGAGGAGCTGCAAACCCAGCCCAGGGAGCTGCAGGGAGGAAAGAGCCCCCCTGAGCCAGGAAGGCGGGCGGAGATCCAGGTGGAGCTTGGAGCTGGTGGAGAAGCCTCATGGCAGGGAGAAGCCCCACAAGTGCTTGGAATGTGGGAAGGGTTTCAGCTGGAGCTCCAGCCTCATCCGGCACCAGAGGATCCAAACAGGGGAACGGCCCTATGAGTGCTTGGAATGTCAGAAGAACTTCAGGTGGAATTCAGAGATCGTCACTCACCAGCACTTCCACACCAGGGAGGCCCTGCGGGTGTCTGGAGTGGGGGAAGAGCTTCGTGCGCTGCTCCAGCTCCATCCCCCATGGGAGGATCCGGGCTGGATGATCCCCAGTTGTTGCAGCCTGAGCTGCTACAAGGAGAGTCCAGGGTAAAGAAGCAGAAAAGGCCTTTGCATGGTATCCATGGATGTTTGATTCAGCCATGCCGTGAGATGTTCAGGGTTTTCCCCAGCACACTCATCCCCCTGCTCCAACTCTCAGCTCTCCCTGTCCTGAGGAGTCGGGGTGGGGGTGACCCTGGTCCCTGGGCACTACAAAGATGAGGCCCAGTCAGGGAACAGGGAGGGAGTGGCCCAGGGACATAGGAACAGACACAGGAACAGGGAAAGGAGCAAACAGAGTCCAACAGCCCCTTGAGGGAAGCCTCCTGCGTCTCCCCAAACCAGGGAAATGCCCCCCAGGGTCCCCACAATTCCCCTTTTTATATTATTAAGAAAGCTTCTCTGGAGGAACAACTGAATCAGCACAAAATGACAAAAACAATCAAAAGCGCTCACACGACAATTTTCAAAATGCAAACAATTCTGAGTCTCTAATGTCCAAATAGATTTTCTTAGAGCTGGCAGGAGGGATGTGGGGTTTTNTGGGGGGAAGAGGGAGCCGGCAGTGGGTGCTGGGCCTGGGGGCAGGGGGAGAAGGGAAGGAGAAGCAGGCTTGAGGAACAGAATGGTCAAAGGATGCAAGTGGCAGGAAAGGGTGGGATTGTGCAGGAGGAGGAATAGGAGGAGGAAGAGGAGTGTGAGGAAGAGTAGATACACAAGAGGAGGAGGAGGAGGAGCAGAAAGAGGAAGCAGCAGAAGGTTCCACCACTCCTTATAGTTGCAGCCTCCCCCCAGCCCCAGGAGCGCTGCTCCCCCCACATGCAGCAGGTGACTATGGAAATGGATCCATGATCTTCACGAGGTGAATCTTGGTGTTTCTGAGCCTAATCTGTGTCTTGAAGTTTGTGGGATTTTTGAGCTGAAGCTTCGTGTTGTGGATGTTCTTACAGACACAAGATTCCCAATGACTTCCTGAGATGAACTTGGGTAAGGAGGAGCCTCCAGTCCAAGGGTCTCCCCTCTTGTTTTTCCCTCAAACCAGGATTTGTCATTGCCAGGGCGTGGCTGGATGGAGGAGGAGGAAAAGCCCCGGAGATGCTGCAGGAGGAGGAGCTGCAAACCCAGCCCAGGGAGCTGCAGGGAGGAAGGAGCCCCCTGAGCCAGGAAGGCGGGCGGAGATCCAGCTGGAGCTTGGAGCTGGTGGAGAAGCCTCATGGCAGGGAGAAGCCCCACAAGTGCTTGGAATGTGGGAAGGGTTTCAGCTGGAGCTCCAGCCTGATCCGGCACCAGAGGATCCACACTGGGGAGAGGCCCTACGAGTGTGGGAAGTGTGGGAAGAGTTTCAGAGCCAGCTCGGACCTGATCGGGCACCAGGTGATCCACACTGGGGAACGGCCCTATGAGTGCTTGGAATGTGGGAAGAGCTTTGGGTGGAGCTCACACCTGATCCGACACCAGCGGATCCACACTGGGGAGAGGCCCTACGCGTGTCCCCAGTGTGGGAAGAGGTTTCAGACCAGCACCCATCTCCTCCTACATGAGCGGATTCACACAGAGGAGAGGCCCTACCGCTGCCCCGACTGCAGGAAGGGCTTCAACCGCAACTCCAGCCTCACCGTGCACCGGCGCATCCACACTGGGGAGAGGCCCTACGAGTGTGGGAAGTGTGGGAAGAGCTTCTCCATGAGCTCAACCTTGGCCAAACACCAACGGAGGCACCAGTAAGGGAAGCCCTGTGAGTGCCCCAAGTGAGGGAAGAGGGCTAGGGAAGAGTTTGGAGTGAGGGGAGAGGGCTAGGGAAGAGCTTGGAGTGAGGGAAGAGAGGGAAGAGCTTGGAGTGAGGGAAGAGAGTGAGGGAAGAGCTTCGTGCCCTCCTGCAGCTCCATCCCCCATGGGAGGATCCGGGCTGGATGATCCCCAGTGACCCCCGTTGGGCAGAGCCCTGGTGTCCCCGTTGGGCAGAGCCCTGGTGTCCCCGCATGAGGAATAAAACAGAGAGAAAAGCAATGGAGCTGATAAAGAGGCCCGATATCTGAGGCCTGACTGAGCAGAAACTGTGGGAGACACAGACACAGTTTAAGGCTCCCTGGGCAAGAAGAGGGGACAGTGGAGGGTGGCTGGGGTGTGACAGAGGGGATGAGGGGGTGACAAAGGGACAGAGAGGACATCAGAGCCCTCCAGGGAGGGGACAAAGGGAACCCTGGGAGGACACAGGGGCTACCACAGGAGGCCACAAGTGCCACCAGGTCCCTGACACCTCCCCGTCCCCTCCCCAGGCATCCCCCTACCAGCTGGAGTCACTGGTGAATGTGGTGGCCACCCTGGGTGAAGTGGCAGCCACCGTGACGAGGTTACAGAGGGACGAGCAGCAGCTCATGTCCCCAGAGTCCCTGCACGGGAACCTGAGGAACTTCACCTGGAGTCTCCATGAGACCCTGGAGCAGGGCGATGTCGCCTCCCTGGGCCACCGTAGTGTCCCCTCCCTGGGCCAGGCCCTGGCCATGCTTGGGGCCACCCCAGGGGCCACCTGGGCCGATGTGAGAGCTGCGGCCTGGGCCTGGCAGGAGTTGGTGGTCAGGCTCGAGGACAGCCGGGCCCTGCTGGCCTGGGATGTCACCGAGCTCCGTGACACCCGCTGGGACGCGGCCATCGCTGCCATCCGGGCCGGGGACCTGCAGAACATGGCCACCCGCAGGAGGACAGCTGGGAGCAGCCTGGTGGCCACAGCCCAGCAGCTGAAGGTGGCCCTGGGCAGGGAAAAGAGGGCCTCGGCAGGGCCACCCACAAGGCCCAAATGGCTGCGGCCACCAACGAGGCCGTGGGAGAGGCCGTGGTGGCCAGCAGCCAAGCCATGGTGGCCACCAGAAGGGAACATTGGGCACAGGTGGCCCTGGGGCCGCTGGAGCGCTTGGTGGAAGAGTGTGAAGGAGGCAGGTGGTTCCCCGAGGAGCTGCAGCGCCGGCTCAGGGACATCGAGGCCATCCTGGAGGGGACAAAGAAGGCATCCCCCAATGTCCCTGAGGCCTTGGTGGCCGAAGTGGCCGGGTTTGGGCAGCCGTGGGATGCCAGTGCCTGCCTGGGCAAGGATCACCTGCTGGGGACACTTGGGGACATCCAGGACCTCCTCTTGAGTCCCTGTGGTGGCTCCTGCGGCCCCGGTGGCCCCAGCAGGCGCGCCCTGGCCCAGCGGTGCCAAAAAGCCGTGGAGGATCTCCCCAGGCTGCTGCAGCGATGGCACCGCTCTGATGCCATCAGGGACAGTGACATCCTGGTGGACAGCGCTGGCGTCACCAGTCCCCTCCTCGCATGGGATTTGAGACCAATTTGGAGAATTTTCTGGGAATTTTCATGGGCATTGTCCCACATGCTGATGGGAGTTTCTGGGATGACGTTACCAGCCGCACCTGGGGCCATTGTGAGAGCACTCAGAAGACTTTTGCATTCCCCTGCTGCCTTTTGCATTTTTCTGCTTTTTCTGTTGGGTTTGGCATTTCTCTGTTGCCTTTTGCAGGTTCCTATTGAACCCCAGCATTTTGCTGAGGTGCTCATACTGATATTGATTATTGATAATTCCTTGCAGCTGCTCGCTGGCACAATAAAATCTCAGAGTTTGCATGGACAAGTCCAAGGCAGTGTGAGCTTTCTGCCAGGATTTGGAAATCCTTTACGAATCCAATTCTCACATCCCTGGGCCCCCCCGGTCCCGGCGCTGTTCCCGGGGGTCCCGCGGCTCTGGGGGTCAAAGGGGAGGGGGCGGAACCCCCGTGATGGGTGGGGGGCACAAAGGGGGGCCCGGCCCCGGGCCCCGGGGGGTCGGGGGCACTGAAGGGGTGCGGGTGCGGTTTTTGGGGGGTCCCGGTGCTCGGTGAGGGGGGTCAGTGCTCAGCAGCGGGGGCTGTCCAGGGACCCCCCCGGCCCCCCCAAATCCCAGCCGGGTGTGAAAAACAAAGTTCACTAAGGGATTACTAAACAAAGTTTAATCAGGGATAAAAAAGGGTTTTGGGGCTCAACCAAAGAACTCGCCCTCAACTTAACCCTTCGTTCTCCGGATCCGGTTCCACTGCAGGGCCACGAGCACACTCCTGAGTTTTGACATTATTCAAACACTCCCGGGAGGTTTGGGTGTCCCAGGAACTCGTGTTTGGGTCTCACCTCTGACTTGTCTGCAGGACATTCTGTAGATTAAGTCGATATTTTTGATTTCTTCTCATGGTTCCACGCTGTTGTTTCAGGCCCCCTGATAAATTCATAAATTCTTCTGAGCTTTGTGTCACTGGTATCACCTGGTGAGGCTGGTCCGCAGATGTGGGAAACACTGGAATTGTTTTACACCTGAGTCAATCAAACAAAAGTGTTTTAACATTGCATAGTCTCTATTTCAATATTTATTATTGATCTATTTAATGTTTATCTATTTTTAATATATTAAGGCCTATTATATAATATCTGTTTATTACTCTAGCAGTAAATTTGTTATACACTGCACACATAAACAGATCGATTTTATTGTACCAGCAAGCAGCTGCAAGGAATTATCAGTAATCAATATCAATATCAAGTACCACAGCAAAATCCTCGTGCTCAATAACAACGTGCAGAAGCCAATACAGAATTTCAAAAGCAGATTATTCTATTGTAATTTATAACCCGGCTCTGCTGCAAGGCACCGAGGGGCTCATTCAGCCCCTGACCCACCGCCACCCCCATCAGTGTCCCCAGAGCGTCCTCAGAATGTCCCCAAGTGTCCCCAGTGACGTCACCCCAGGAATTCCCATCAGCATTTGGGACAATTGCAATGAAAATTCCCAGAAAATTCCCCGAATTCATCTCAAATCCAGTGTGGTTTGGGGAGAGGGGAGAAGTGACAGCAGCAATGTCCCTGATGATATCACCATCCCCGATGATGTCACAGCAGTGACATCGCTGTCCCTGCAGCAGCCTCGGAATGTCCTCTGTGAAAAATGCATATTTTATGGTTGGCTTTTGCAAGTATTAAATTGAATAGGATTTGTATTATGTTACATTGATTAGTAGTGCTGTATTAACATTTTAATGGTAGGGTAAATGTAGATTTGTGGTTAAAATGGAGGTTTTGTGGTTAAAACAGAAACTCTGTGCATGGGAAGAAAGGAATGAGGTACTTGCACTGGGACGGCAGCTGCAGGACACCGAAATCTTCCAGAGAAAAAGAATTTACAGCTTATTGTAAATGCAGGCGAGCCGGGGGGAAGAAATGACGATGCCTGACTCCAGCTCAGAAGGATGACTGGTTTCTTTATTAGAACTATACTAATATACATTAATATACTGTTTAAAGGAGATACTAAAACTACAAACCTGCTTTTTCTAACTCCCAAATCTAACTCCTCACAACTCGTGACCCTCTCTGAGATTCCAGCCCCAGGTGGGTTGGATTGGCCCCAGGCTCAAACGATCCTCACCAGAACCCAACCCAGCAACCACCCCACAACAATTTGGGTAACAAATTGTTAAACAATTCTCCAAACACGTTCCACATACTAAAACGAGGAACAGAAACAGAAATTGTTTTCTCTTTCGTTTCCCTCTGTGCTCCTCTGTGGAAAATGCTGGGAGGCAGAGCAATGTGCTGCCACAAGGGCTCCCTGATTAAAGGAAATTCACTCTCCGTGCCCCGCTCAGCCCTGCGGGCGCCGCGGGATTGAGAAGAGGCTGCCACTGCTCCGGGCTCTGTGGCTGGACAGGATTGATGCATCATGCATGAGATCGATGAATATGCAACAGGCTGCTGCTTTTAGGGTTATTCCTTGTTCAAGGCGTGGTTTTGGCAGCTCAGTGCCCAAAACATCCGGACATCCGTAATCCCTCGCTTTTTATTGTCTTGTCACTGTCCTGACCTCATTGTCCACATTGTTATTGCTCTGATTTTATCGCTGTTTTTTTAATAACTGTTTTATTACTAATAAACTTTTACAATTTTAAAAACCAACTGACTGGTGTTTTCCACAGTGCCCAAAAACATCCAGATGTCCAAAATTCTTCGCTTTTTATTGTCTTGTCATCGTCCTGACCCTCATTGTCCAGATTCTTATTGCTCCGATTTCATTGCTATTTTTATAACTATTTTGTTACTAATTAACTTTTTGAATTAGTGAATTTTTAAATTTCAAAAAACAGCGAGTGGTGCTTTTCACAGTGCCCAAGAACTCCTGGATGTCCAAAATTCATTTTTTATCATCTTGTGGTGTTCTCATCCTCATTGTCCACATTTTTATTACTCCGATTTTATTTACTATTTTATTATTTTTTGGTTTGTTCTTTTTTTTTTACTCATTATTTTATTACTAATAAACTTTTAAAATTTAAAAAACAACTGATTGTTATTTTCCACAGTGCCCAAAAACTCCTGGATGTCTGAAATTCTTAATTTTTTTATCGGCTCGTGGTGCCTGACCCTTGCTACCCACATTTTATTACTCTGATTTTATTTTTAAATTTTATTTTATTTTTTTTCTTATTATTTAATTTTTTTTAATATGTCTTAATAATTGTTTTATTACTAATAAACTTTTAAAATTTCAGAAACAACTGATCAGTGTTTTCACAGTGCCCAAAAACTCCTGGATGTCTGAAATTCTTCATTTTTTATCGTCTCGTAGTGCTCTGACTCTCATTGTCCAAATTTTTATTACTCCTATTTATTGCTATTTTTATTACTATTCTATTACTAATTAACTTGTTTGAATCAGTAATTTTTAAAAGATTTTAAAGAACCAGAACTGGCATTTTTCACGGTGCCCAAAAACATCTGGGCATCCAAATTTTTTTTCTTTTTATCGCCTCATGGTGGCCTAAATGTCATTGTCCAGATTTTTATTACTCTGATTTTATTTTTTATTTTAATTTTATTTTTTTATTATTTAAATTTTTAATTTTATTTTTAATAACTATTTTATTACTAATAAAGTTTTAACATTTCAAGAACAACTGACTGGTGTTTTCACAGTGCCCAAGAACTCCTGGATGTCCAAAATTCTTCATTTTTTATAATCTTGTGGTGTCCTGACCCTCATTGTCCACGTTTTTATTGCTCCGATTTTATTGTTATTATAATTATTATTTCATTACTAATTAACTTGTTTAGTTATTAATTTATTACTAACTAACTTGTGTAATAATTAGTTTATTATTAATTAACTTATGTAATTAGTGATTAGTTTGTGATTTTACAGACCCGTGATCGACTCTTTCAGAGTTCGCAGCGAGCGGGAAACGTTACACGGGAACAAGCTTTGGATCGATTCCTGTGTGATACTGATCAGTAATCAATAACTAATGCTGGATCGATTCCCGTGTGACATTGATCAATAATCAATAACTAATGCTGGATCAATTCCTGTGTGACATTGATCAATAATCAATAACTAATGCTGGATCGATTCCTGTGTGACACTGATCAATAATCAATAACTAATACTGGATCTACTCCTGTGTGACACTGATCAATAATCAATAACTAATGCTGGGTCGATTCCTGTGTGACATTGATCAATAATCAATAACTAATGCTGGATTGATTCCTGTGTGACACTGGTCAATAATCAATAACTAATGCTGGATCAATTCCTGTGTGATATTGATTAATTAATAAAAAATAATAATGAAGAGTGGATAAAAGTTTCTGTAATACCAATTAATTAATAATTAATAATTAATAATATTTGATAACAAAGTTTGATTCCTTTGTAATATTGATTAATAATAATAATATATATTGGATTATTTTATTTGTAACATTGATTAATAATTAATTAATATTAGATTGGTTTCTTTGTAATAATAATAATAAATAATTAATAGTATAGGATTGATTTCCTTGTAATATTGATTAATAATCAATAATGAATAATATAGAATTAATTTATCTGTAATAAAGATTATTAATAGTGATAAATAATAATTAATACTGGATAGATTTCTTTGTAATATTGATTAATTAATCCTTAATAATTAATAATAGATCAATTTCTTTTTAGTGTTGATTAATTAATAATAATTGATATTAGGTTTATTTCTTTGTAATGCTGGTAATAATAAATAATAATGAATATTGGATTTATTTCTCTGTAATATAGATTAATTAATTATCAATTATTAATTGATATTGAATAAATGTCTTTGTAATGGTTATTAATTAATAATCAATAATCTATATCTAATATTGGATTGATTTCTTTGTAATATTGTGAAAAATGCTGATTGAATTATGCACTGCTATTGATTATTGATAACTCACTATTGATTATTGATAACTCCCTGCTGTGGATTATTGATAATCTACTATTGATTATTGATAATCTGCTATTGATTACTTATAACTCACTGCTATTGAATATTGATAACTCAGTGCTATTGAATTGGATGTGGGGAGATGAAGGAACAATGAGGGGGAAATCTCCTTTTTTTTCCCCTTTTTTTCCCTTTTTTCCCCCCTTTATTTTCTTTTTTTTTTTCTTTTTTTTTTTTTTTTTTTTTTTTTTTTTTTTTTTTTTTTTTTTTTTTTTTTTTTTTTTTTTTTTTCCTTTTTTTTCTTTTTTTTTTTTTATATTTCCTCCTTTTTCTGCCCCTCTCTCTCCCGTGACAAAATCAAAGATTTAATGAAAAATCGATAAAATGGGAAACGGAACTTTTCTAAAATTGCTTTTTAAAAAAAAATTCAGTGAACAATCGGAGCTGGGTAATTGGTTCTTCAATGACTTTAAATTCGTGCTTTGGGTTTTTTTAATCAATGCTTTAAAAAAGAACCTTAAAATCCAAACTGGAACAAACTCCTCCAGTGCCACCAACCCCACCGGTGTCCCCAGTGTCCCCAAATGTTCCCAAATTCCCCAAATGTCCCCAAAGTCCCCAACATCCCAAAATCTCCCCAAATGTCCCCAAACTCTCCAAATGTCCCCAAATGTCCCCAAACCTCCCCAAATGTCCCCAGACCTCCCCAGATGTCTCCAAATGTCCCCGATCCCCACTCAGGACACATCAGTTTTGGGGGGATTGTCACCCCCCGCCAGTTTATTTTGGAAATATTTGGGGACATTGGGGACATTTGGTGACACTGGGGACATTGGGGAAGTTTGGGGAGCTTGGGGACATTTGTGGTTGGGAACATTTTTGGGGGGGTTGGGGACATTTTTGGGGGTTTGGGGACATCGGAGCTGTCACATGAAGAGCCCCCTGGAGTGAGAGAGAAGAGGAGGGGACACCTGGGAACATTGGGGACACCTGGGGACATTGGGGACACCTGGGACATGGGGACACGGAGATGAAGGGGGACACTGGGGACACCGGTGTCACCTCCCCGCCGAGGGCCACAGGCGCAGGCTGAGCCCCCCGATGACGAAGGCCACCAGGGCCATCCCCACCATGTCCTCCACGCTGGGCATGGTGGCACCTGTGGGGACATTGGGGATGCGTCACCGACACCCCTGGGTGGCACCGAGCCCGTCCTGGTGGCACCAGCCACCCCCCAATGTCCCCAGATCTGCTTCTGATGTCGCTTAGGTGATCCCAGTCCTGTCCCCAGCCCCATCCCCAGTGTCCCAAACTGCATCCCAGCTGTCCCCAACCCCATCCCAGGTGTCCCCAGCCCTGTTCCAGATGTCCCCAACCCCGTCCCAGCTGTCCCCAGGCCCTTCCCTGTGTCCCCAACCCTGTCCCCAGTGTCCCCAGGCATCCCTGGTGTCCCAAGATACTCCAAACCCCATTCCCGATGTCCCCAGCTGTCCCCAACTCCATTCCTGATGTCCCCAACTCTGTCCTGGTGTCCCCAACTCTATCCTAAATGTCCCCAACCCCATCCCAGGTGTTCCCAGCTCCACTCCTGGTGTCCCAAGACCCTCCAAACCCTGGTCCCAGTGTCCCCAGCCTTGCTCCTGTGTCCCCAACCCCATCCCAGGTGTCACCAACCCCATCCCTGATGTTCCCAGGTGTCCCCAGCCTTGCTCCTCTGTCCCCAACTCCATCCCAGGTGTCCCCAACCCCGTCCCTAATGTTCTCAAGTGTCCTAAACTCCGTTCCCAATGTCCCCAGCTGTGCCCAAACCCTGTCCCTGATGTCCCCAGGTGTCCCCAAACCCTGTCCCTGATGTCCCCAGCTGTGCCCAAACCCCATCCCTGATGTCTCCAGGTGTCCCCAAACCTAGCGGATCTCCACGTCCAGCGGGAAGAAGCCGACGGTGTCTCAGCGCAGCTCGGCCGGGAGCCCCGGGGACAGCCGGGACGGCAGCAGGGACACCCGGGGAGGGGCTGGGACACGGGACAGTGAGCTGGGGATACTGGGAGGGACTGGGACATACTGGGAGCCCCGGCCCCGCCCATTCCCGGCACTGACCAATCAGGCGCAGCCGCAGCACCTGCTGCACCTGCCCTGGGGCGCGCTCACGGAGCAAACGAAGGCGCCGTCGTCCGACACCGAGAGCGGCAGCAGCTGCAGCGACACCTCCCTGGCGCCCCCCGGCGGCTGGGGGCACCGAGGAAACGTTCGGCCTCAGTGGCACCCCCCGGCGGCTGGGAGGATCGTGGCCGTTCTGTGCCCAACATCCCACCAGAACCCCCCCAAAAAAACCCCCCAAATACTCCCTAAACCCCACAAAAATCACCCCCTAAACCCTTCCAGAAACACACAAAAAAAGTCCTTAGAAATCACCCCCAAAACTCCCCCAAAAAAAACGCAAAAAATGCCCCCAAAACCCCCAAAAATCACCCACCAAACCCCTCCAGGACCTCCCAAAAAACCCCAAAAAATGCTCCCAAAACCTTCCAAAAAAACATTCAATGCCCACAGCGCCCCCTAGCGGCTATGAGGACCGAGGCTGTTCCGTGCCAGTAGCGCCCCCTGGTGGCCGGGAGGACCAAAACCACCCACTGCCAGTGGCGCCCCCTAGCGGCTGGGAGGACCAAAGCAGTTCCATGCCTGCAGCGCCCCCAGGTGGCCGGGAGGACCAAGGCTGTCCATTGGCGCCTCCCAGTGGCCAGGAGGACTGAGGCCACCCACTCCCAGCAGCGCCCCCTGGCGGCCAGGAGGACCCGACACCCCCCCCTGCTCGGTGGCGCCCCCGACTGTCCCCGCAGGGCTCCGCAGCCCCTCCCCTCCCCTCACCTGCACGGTGCCGGGGGGGCTCCCCTGGCCCCCCAGGAACAGCAGCACCCCCGGCACGGCCTCGGTGCGGTGCGCAGCGGCCGAGCCGAAGGCCAGCAGGCGCCACGTGGCACCGTGGCGGTGCCACATCCACTGCAGCGTGAAGGGCCCGGCTGGGGGCGCGAAGGTGCAATGCAGCTGCCCCGGCGCCCCCAGCAGCGCCCGCGTCTGCGGCGTCCGCGTGGACACCAACAGGGACACTACGGGGTGGGACAGGGCGTCAGGGGTGTGGGGACATTGGGGACAACGGGGGGACATTTGGGATGTGGGGACATCAGGGATGTGGGGGGACACTGGGGACATCGGGGACAATGGGGATGTGGGGGACATCAGGGATGTGGGAACATCAGGGACATCAGGGATGTGGGGACAACAGAGAGACACTGGGGACATGGGGACAGTGCAGGAGCATAGGAGACATTGGGGGACATGGGGACAATGTGGGGACATTGGAGACATTGAGATATTTGGGCCAATGGGGAGGGGACACTGGGGACATCAGAGACATCGGGGCTAATGGGTGGACACTGAGGACATGGGGACAATGCAGGAGTATAAGGGACAAAAGGGGGACATCAGGGATGTGGGGATATTTGGGGGGACATCAGGGATAACGGGTGGACATTGGGGACATCAGAGACATTGGGGACATTGGGACAGTGGGGGGACAATGGGGACAATGGGGATGTGGGGTGTCCTGGCTTGTAAGATAGGCTTGTATTCTATTTGCCATCTGTTGGAGGTTGGGCAGTTTTCTTATCTCTTCCAAGAACAATGTCTCCCTCCGGGGAGAGATCTTCTGTTCATGGACCATTGAATGACTCACTGCATGACCAGTAAAGTTACATCATCCCAGTGTGAGATGCTCCACCCAGAGGGAGGAGCCAAGCATTCCTACCTGCATAAAATCAGCACTTTTTGAGACACTGGCAGCCCCTTCGCTGGATTCCCCGAGGAGCATCTTCTTCTCTGCTGGATTCCCAGAGGAAGACCAGGCCCAACTACTACCAGACCTTCAGAGAAAACTCCACCCTTCTAGAGATCACCACTTCAGCAGCATTTCATCAGCCACTCCAGGAGGAGCAGCCACCATTTAACTGGACTATTACCAACACCCTGACTCCTCAGGGTGTCAGGTTTCTGACTC